AGTATGAAGAGATAAACAAAATATAGCATTTTGTAGAGTGGATTCCGCACTATCGATTGGTATAAGATAATTGTTCTATTGATTACTTTTTTTGAATAAAAATATTCGATCGAAAAACTTTTTGAAAAAAATATCTTTCTACACGCATTTTTGGAACCTCAAAAAGGTTGGGTCCCCAAATCCAAATCGAAAGAAGGCTTTGTTCAAAGATAGTACAATTTTGGATTGATGCCTCATTTTGTATGCTCTATCGAACCTGATAGCTAATTTCAAAATCTAAAAGTTTTCGGCAACCGATTTGGGCGGCGGTCTCGTGGACTCTCTCTTAATAAAGCCGATGAGACATCGATGGAATTTAAGGATAGTCACCAAACTTGGGGATCCTGATAGAAAATTAGAAAATCAGAAAAATCGTCAGAAATCACTAGAAATCAATATGTTCTTTTTTTACTGTATATTTCGAGAATTTTTGTAATATGGAATGATTTTTAGTGTTTTGTAATGGCTTCTCATTTTTTTCTAATAGTCAAAATCGGTTTTCGGGTTTCATTTTCATGCGATCGCCTTTTAATGATTTTAAGCGATTTCTCATGATTTTTGGCACAAGAAATCAGTTTTTCCCCCCTTGGAAAGTGTAATAAAGCTAACAAAATGCTGATATTGTTATATATCTATAGTCAATAAAGATCTGTTTTAGTTTTGTTCCATTGTTTACATAAAAATTATTAATAAGAAAAAACCTGAGGATATGAGATTATGTTTTTTCATACGATAAATAGCCTTAGTCGATTAGATTCAATAGTTCGATTATTCGATGCAATAGAGTGACTTATCGAAGCCAAACTGTGAATATTTCGAAGATGAACAAGAATTTTCTTTGTCCGCTTCGGATCATACCTAGTGAAATAAATCGATTATCTGATTAATTTTAAAGAATAAACTTGAGGGTGTGGGTGTAGCTCTTTTATGCACACCTACACACCAGTGATTGGATAGGTTCGCATTTTTCTTGAATCGAGCCGATCACATCTCTGCCACACAGACACTGACTTTTAGCACACTGTACCAACATGTTCGAGTACAAAAGTTTCTAGCTGAAAATACAAGTATTCGATTTTTTTAAGATGAATCTTAATATAAACAAAAAAAGCTAACATAATGAATATAACTAGAAAAGAAAAGACTCAACAATATAATAGCATTGCAGACTTTCGCTGGTCTCGATAGATCCTATTGAATAACAAAAACGTTTTCACCTTGAACAGTTTCATTTCATCCTAAACAATTTTTCCTCTTCCCAGTTATCAATTAATGAATAATGTTTAAAAATCAAAGTTTCTACTAGTTTGCATTCATTCTCAAGAACTTTGTTCAAAAATCATAATTAAATTTACGTACATCATTATCCTATTTACAAAACAATATTAACATATTTTAGTTTCGATTTTTTGACAAAGCATTACGACTTGGAATCGTAACATTCTGTTTTAAATTTCATTAAATAAATATTCTCTCAATTGGATTGAATAATCTATCCTTAAATAATACTAGGTTATTAAAATATCAATGTTGGATAAGAACGAGACATAAAATGCATCATAATTTGCTCGTATCCTTATTTAGCATAAGTCACATTCTTGGATAAAGTAGAAAGATGAATAGTTGATTGTTTACCAAAAAGCATATCATCGACAATGAACAGAGAGGATTGACTTTATACTACATTGATTTTGAAGTTTTGAATATTCAAAAAAAAATATCTTTCAAGTCCTTATTGAATTGATATTCGAAATTTTTCATAGCTACTCTCTTCTATTAAGACGTAAAAGATAAACCACTAACTATATTTGTCATATTCTCGATATTAATTTCGTTTTGAATCTTTCATTATGTGTGCCGTAAATGAACACATGCCAATGTTAAGTCTGATATCATCTCATCCAAATAGTGTCATCTTGTTTGACGCTCGTTAGAAGAATACCATGACTATGGTGTAAGATCAACAAAATGAAAATTAGTTCCAATTAAAGTCATATTTCGAGTGTCTTAATGAAACTAACATTTTTCTGTCGCCAGCGAAATATAAAAACTGCGGTTCATACTCATTTCAACTTATGAATGCTGCATGTTAATATCTTTTGTAAAGGCAGATACGTAGATCAATCAATCGTAGTTGCATATGATAGTGTGCAAGTAAGGATGAAAATGAATACAGGTGTCAGTAAGGATACTTTTATCACCCAAAATCAAAATCGATTAAATATCAATCGAACAAGACAATATTGGTACTCGCGAATATCGTGCAGTTCAATAGGGTCTTAGTTACAAATGAATTTCAGTGTACTAGTATCAATTTGTCAGGCTTTGAAAGAGCGATTTGGTCGTGAATGTCCTCATATAATATGTACCAATGAACAGTATCATCGAAAAGAATACTATTTGGTCACATATTTTACGCCATTCGATAGGAGAAAACGCTAGCTTTCATTTAACATATGGTTCAAATTAAAAGAGTTCAAGAGAAAGGGAAAAAAAACTTTCAGTACAAAATATTGCATAGTAGGACGCTATACGAAAGCAATAATATCAACTTTGAGTCAGCCTCTCCCATAATGGAAATGAAAACTAATTTCGATCGATTGATGACCGCTCTTTACAGTTCATTGTGTCTTCGAGAGTTTGTTTCTTCGGATTCACAGGTATATTTTAAAAGGGTTCCACTGAAATATACTTCTTTTTCTATGCGTCAATTATAAATGACTGTCTTCAGAAGAGATACGAAACATGGAACGAAGTGAAGCGATTAAGAAGAATTTCCCATGTGTGTGTGTGTGTGTTATAGTTTTTCTTACAAGTTACTTTCTTTGGTATGTCTCCGATGGATATCAAAAACTTCGAATTAATGATACACGGATATGACCGATAATTCTGTTCGTTTATAATCGCAACCGTTGTAGTGATTTTCATCAGAAATAAGTAAATGAAAATAACTTTCGATTATCTTTTATGTGTTTCATAAAGAAATATAAGAGACACTTATGCACTACAGCCAATCGATGTTGCTGATAAATTGTATTAAGTGAACGAAAGGTATGCATAGTGTTATTCTACATTCTTCCTCCATATTATCATTACATGATACTGTGCTCGGAGCAAGAGGAAAACAGGGTGTTGGTTCGTATTGCCTTTGCACTAACATCCACCTACGCCCAACCCTAGCTTTAAACTTTTCAAACATGACATTTTGAGTTTTTAACCAAGAAATTGTTTTCAAAAGAAAAATACCAATATCAGATCGTTAAATGCAGAACTTCTGTCTCCAGAAGATGACCCATAAATTTTTTTCTTTTGGAGCTAAGGACAATTGCTCGACTCTTATAGAGCTTCTAAATTACTGTGCTGCTTATGAGTTCACATACATGTGCATCGACTTCGCTCTTGTCTATAAAAGATATTCGCAAAGAAAATACTGTCTCAGGATTACTAAAAACGTCATGTCTGGTTTTCGCACCTTTTATTTAAGCAAAAATAGCTTAGAGAAAATGTTTTTAGCATTTTAAACAACGGTCAACGCGCTACAAAATTAGCTCTAGAAGTGTTTCATTTGGAAAAATTACCAGCGGCCCTGAAGAAAAAGGGTCTTTTTGAATAACAGCATCCGGCAACAAAAAAAAACCCTCTCTACAATCTTGATATTTTATCCAAAAAAGGTCGTATTTATGGCATGCCCATGCCACAAAAAGTTGCATCAAACGACTTTACAACGAACTTTCTAACTGTCACAGCTTTCGAGATAATAAAAAAACAAGTGTGCCAAAAATGTCACAGCGTTATGTTTGAACAAGACCATTTACATACGTTCATGCAATAGACAGCAATGAAAGCTTTTAAAAGACATACAAGTATTTATAAAGACTACTTTACTTTGTTGGAGTATATTCTACTTAAAATAGTCATTTATTTTCATTTAGTCCGTTTCATATTGCGAAAAGGAAATGAATTTAAATAGATGGCCCTGTAAAACATTCGAAGAATATAAAAGATCACTAGGTATCGAATCCATTTGTTTAAAAAAAAAGAAAATTTTACTAATAAAAGCTGTTTTTAGCAGTATTCTACTTTTTTCAATTTTTGCAGGAAATATAGAACGAATCCGAGGCCAGTTTCATGCGTTTTTTGCCAAAAATTGAAATACACTGTAGGGCTTTAAGTTTTGATGAAGAAACATAATGTCATTGATCGATCAATGAAAAAGTTCTGAATGCTAAGTAAAAAGAAAATGAAAAGCTGTACGAGAATTCACGTCACGATCCTAATCTAAAAGATAATGCTAAATCCAACTATATATGTATGGAATATATAGTAATTCAAATAGAAAATTACTTGTCTAGCCAAATTTGCTCGCGAAGGAAATATTTATCTAACAGAAAAGCCCACTTTTCAGTGTATATTTCTCAATTTAGAAAGCGATAAGTTTGACTATGGGAGTTTTAGTAAATTGTAGATGAGTAACTTTTATCATGGTCTAGTGAAAGCAATGCGGCTAAAATTACTCAGACTTAGCTCTTGCCTTCGGACATGCTTCTCCGTCCAGCTAATAACGATGATTTTCTCTCATTCTCTATGGTTTCCTCGAGAACTCCGTGCTCCGTAAGTTAAAAACCAATTCAATTCTAAGCAATAAAAAAAGGTCGAGAGATAGAGAAAATACTGAGAGTTCCGTTCAAGATGGGCCACTCGGTATACTTCAATATATACAGTGATAATCTTTTTCTCGGATAACTTTACTCAAATCAGATGTCACCCCAACGTAGTGCATTCAACATTGACTCGATGACTCATACATATACGATCATAAAATGAATAGAATTTTCCTTTCGGTACACTTACTATTTCAATTGTTAGAGGAAAGAATCATGTATAGTAGAAATGACTTTTCTTGAATTCAATGTGTTTTTTTTTCTACTGAAAATATTTGCATCTTCAGATACTTATCATCCATGCACAAACGATTTCGTTGTGGTCTTGTAACGTTAACCAAAAATGGAAAAGTAAAAAAAATTGGTCTTGATAATAGTGGTGGTTCACGTTGGTGTGATTGGTTTAATAAATCGATGACTTTAAAGGATGTTCATCGCCTTATTCGCAACATATTCAAACTGGGTAAATTGATGAAAATAAATTTTGTTAATTTAAAAAGGATCAAAATTTCATTTTATTGATCAGAAGCTGATACTGAATGTGAAACATCGTTATACGATTTTCAGCTGCAGCCACTGGATGCCAATCAGTATCGAACGTTTTTTGAATACATTCGTGAACAAGGTTTAAACCGTGCAAGCACCGTTATCTATGTTTGCACGCATAAAGGTTTTATCGTTTTTTTCACATTTCATTTTATGTTATCTAGTTTTTTTATTTTGCAGCTAGTAATAACAATCCCGCAAGAAAGTCTGTTGGCAAATGAGAAAAAAGCTAAAAAGAAAAAATCGAATACACCAATCTCAAGAGAAGAGTAATTACGTTTTTTGTGATACTGTCTTTTTTTCCAACCAAGTTTATATTATTAGAACATCTGTACAAACAATCACAAGTTCATCTACCACATCGATAGAATTCATGCATGTTGAAGATGAACAAGACTTCGATCAACAACAAATTGCTAAGTAAAATATTTATTTTCTTTGAAATAAAAAGTAAAACAAACTGAAACATTTTTCTAGCTCGTCATATAGTAACTACTGGATAATTTTCGATTTTTATCATTGAAACTTTATATATTTAGATTATTCATTAATAAATTCAATAAGGGAAGATATTCGTGATTTGCTTAGTCAAAATGATTATGATTTAGTTTTAATTAGCTTATTTGAGAACACTTCATTGATTCATGAATATTCATGTTTAATAATCGATGTATTAAAACAACGAATTGGATTATCAAAAACAGATTTTCAAGCAATCAAACAAGCTGATATTACGTTTAATTCGAATTGTTTAAATAATACTTACAATATTTGTGAATTAACACTAGAATTATTTCAACGAGAAACGCATAAATTCAGTCATATACAACTTTATTCAATGATTTGTGAATCATTTACAAGTTTTTTTCTGAGCCTACAGGTATTTATATGCTGATGCAAACAAAATAATAGAATATGTTTTATGGGTGAAAAACTCCTAGAATCAATCTAATCGTTTTCATTAAATGTGCAAATTTTTTGTGTGCTTAGATTTTACGTACTCAATGGTTTAACCGTGTTGAAAATTACGACGATGCTAATTTTGTTTCATCTTCACTTGTTAAATTAGAAGCATCATCATTATCGCAGTGTGATCTTGACAAAACTATTGAAACATCCCGTCAAGATCATAGAGAAAATGTTAACTTATTTCCACAAGTAAAGAAAATTTAACATTTAAACTAATATTTTTATTTTTATATTTAGTTGTTGGAATGTGCAAGAGATTTATTGTCTGTTATGCATGGCCCAAGTTTATCAACATTTTGTGATATGATTCAATCAATAATCGTCGATGTTGAATCCATACAATCAACTATTAATATGTGCGATCCAAAATCTATAAGTAGTGCAAAACAAATGATGGTTTCCGTCAAATTCCGATATACAAAAATGTTTGACTTCAAGGCATTTATATCACCTATATATCAAATAACTCGACCAGCTAAACAAGCATATCAAAAAACATTAACAGAAATATGTGACTTAATTTCATATCTTACAAATTATCAAGTCCGATCGGTTAAACGAATATTAGAAAATACGGATGCTGATAATCATGATCAGATTAAAATCGTATCAGTTAAAAGCGAAAGTTTACCGCATCATGTTGGCATTGGAAATAAATCTAACTAAATGCTGATATTGTTTTGAATCTATAGTCAATTAATACCTATGTTTTAGTTTCGTTCCTTGTTTTAGATGAAAAATTCCAAATAAAAATAAGTAAAGATATGAAATTCGTTTTTTCTTCATACAATACGTATTTGGGTTTTATTTTCTATTGCGAGGTTTAAACCGCGAACTGCTCCATCAATGAATTATAACAGCCTCTGTAATACTGTTTTTGAAGAAAAAAAATATGATTAATGAGATAAATAATATTCTATACAACTTGATAAAAAAAAGCCTATACTTATGAAGCAAAATTACTTTTGCTAAACATCCAGGTGGATGAAGTAATATGTCGAATTTTGATAGTAACATTAGAGAACAATCTATCATCTCTTGGTCATATTCAGAATTATGAAAAACCATACTAATTTACATCATAATATTTATTAATTATCGTAACATGATATTCTTCAGGAATATTTTGTTCCGCGTGTAGTGACTGATCATTGAACGATGAATTTGAATCTTGTTCAATATGGTTTTCTGTGAAGCTACACAGAGCAGAATTATTAGTACAAGATTCAATAAAAAGAAGTAATCTATTTCAAAAATATTAGTAGAAAGCGAATTATCTGATATTTGCAGTTATGGAATATTTTTACACAAATATCAATGAAATATGTTTATGATATATATTATCAAGAGAGAAACTATTAGGCGAAGAATATAGAATACCATAACATGAAAAATCTCTCCAAAATGCTGAATTTCTGTATCGTTTTATGTAGTCATTCAACGAAAGAAATAGCTTTTTGACATTTGTTGTAATGAATATCTTCGTACCGTAGAAAAAACTTTTCTCACAAAAATAAGACTATTTACTCGAATAAATGAATTACAACAAAGGTTTGAACAACGTAGATAAAGACGAGTATCTGATAATTTTTCTGTACAAATGAAACAACGAAAGACTTCAGCATTATTTATTTAACAACAAACCTGATTATCGCTTGAGAAAAACCAAAGAATATAAAGATAGGGAATCGATTTGAAACCAGCCATATACAGATGTGTTGCTTCTCTTTGCACTAGACACCCACACCCTATCGTATATTTTCCATCATCGTGCAGAATACAAGAAAATGCATGCATGCAAATGATTAAACTGTATGTTGTTGGAATAAAAAGAGATAGAAAAAAGTGTGATTCGATTGTTTATCCGCTCACTCTTCGTCAATTTAGATTGTACAAAAATGGAGTCACTGTTTTCGTTGACGACATCCGTCACATCGAAGAATGTTTATATAAATATAGATATTCATAAAAGAACAAAAATGAAAACATAAGTGACTATAAACATGGAATATTCTTCATGCATCAAATTGAATGATTTACCTAATGAAATTCTTATGATTATTTTGAAAAACTTACATACTATTGATGTACTCTACTCTTTAGTAGGTGCTGATAAACGACTTAATGCATTTGTAAATGATTCCATTTTTACAAAATACTTAACACTGATGTCATCTTCTCCTACCGGCTTATCATATTCGTTTACGGATAAAATACTTGATCGGTTTTGCGAAGAAATTCTTCCTGAAATTCATCACAAAATTGAATGGCTTAATGTTGCGCCACCATCTATAGAACGTATTCTTGTTTCAACAAACTATTCTAATCTACGTGGACTTGACTTATATGATCTTTCATCAGATACAGCAATGGATCTATTTACTGGTAAGATGATATATTCTGGAAATGTGTCAATGATGAATTATGTAAAATAGTTTTACTAATATGAATTTGGAGATTATTTAAAATTAATAAACACAATAACAACTAGAAGATAATTTAATGATAGTTTTTAATTTTTATTTAGATGGAAGTTTTTTCATTCGTATTTTCAAAAATCAAATTTTATCTCTTGTTATTGATATTAAGAAACATAAAGGACCGATAAGTGCATCCGAAGATATAAATAAATTCATCTATACACAAATCTTTACTATGTTCAGTAATTTAGAATATTTAGATTTTGATCCATCTTTTAATAATTATCACGTTTTATCGTTTGGTGTGTCACCTCCAAATATTTTCTCTTCTACTCTATCAAAATTAAATGTCATGATACATACCTACCGCGATTGTCTTTATTTACTTGATGGTCGCTTCAATCAACTTCACACGTTCTATGTTACCATAACAGATTTTTCTTGTCAATTATCTACAGCAATCAATAATGAAGTAAGTTACTGATAACTTTTTTTAAAATGAATAAACATAAATACTTGCAAATGTTTATTGACTATCCTTCTGTTGTATAGAAGAAACTGCTCAATTTAAAATGTTTTTCGTTAAAGCATACTACGTATTTATCGGTCTACAATCAATTTCTCGTTCCACTCTTGCATAGAATGTCAAATCTAGAAGAGCTTAGTTTATTTTTTCTCAATCATAATAGAGCATTTATTGATGGAGATAATTTGGCAAAGAATACCATCCGTCATATGACAAGATTAAACAAATTCGCATTTGATATTCGTACAATTATCTCTTTTGTCAAGCTAGTCAATTTACCGTCAAATAAAGAATTTCAAAATACATTTAGACATTTTGAAAAGATTCAAATTATTTCATGTGTTGATTATTTTCAAAAAGCAAGTGAATGCCATTGCCATATGTATTCATATCCATATACACTGAAGTATTATAAAGATATAACGAATAATTTTACCCGTGGCTTGTTTGAGAGCGTTCGTGAAATATCATTATTTGATGAACGTCCTTTTGAACATGAATTTTTTCTTCAAATTGCTCGATCATTTCCATTTCTAGAAAAACTAATTTTACATAATCGAGAACCGCAGATGTATTACGGTCAACAATGGCCAACCATAGAATACCCTCATCTTACTCAACTTGATCTTGTGCGAACTCATCACAGTTATGTCGAACAATTTTTAAATAATACTAAAATGAGTTTATTAAACAATGTTTATCTTTATGTTAATTATCACGGTTTACAAATAGTAACGGCCAATTTTACAAGAGAAGTGACACGCTTGAATTGTTCCAAAGTCTATTCACTACTTTTACACGAGAAACCAGAATTTCCTCTTCATTTGCATGAGTATTTTCCTCGTGCAAACATATTTTGATTATTGCTGTTAATTATTGTTAAAATGAAATTTAAAATAAAAAGAAACAAAAGTGATTTTGCGAGAAAAAAATTAAGTTTATGTATTTAGAAAAGTATGACTCTTGGAAGTTATACTAACTAAATAAGTTCCCGTGCTTTTCTTTTTATCGAAAAAACTGTTTATATGCACATACTATCTAGACTGTTACGCTAAATTCTAGATATGAGAATTCATCTGCATCGCTTGTCAGTTTATTTCTGATTAGCAGGAAAGAAACTTTCAAAAAATGTATTTCTGAACCCCGCAGAGGAGAATTCTAGTTCAATAGCTATGCTAGGTTTCAGTGGCGGTGTCAGTTAGAAGGGGAGATAAGGCCCCCTTTCCCGAGATCAAATTTATGGCGCTGTTACTACTAGGTTTGTAACCCATATAAACTTTTATCAAGACGAATTATTAAACATTCATTATTACGTGAAACTCTTCAACCCACGCATTCATCACATAATATGATAGTTTCCTATTCGAAACCACGTGTAATTATTGAAGTTGAACCTGTTCGTTTACCAGTGATTAAAATCGATCCTTAAAAATATAACCAAATGAGTTCTGTTGAAAAACAACGATTAATGCAACATGCGTCATTTCAACATGAACCACAATATCTATCTAGAGATCAATCATCACGAACATCTTATGATTCAGAAAAAATGAATTGATGTATTTAAACAATAAATAAATTCATTTTGTTTAACTTTTCATGGAGTGATATTTATTCAATGGGAACCGAAACGATGCGCACGGAAACGATTAGTATCGATACTAGTGAACGATCTTTTTAGATTCTTGGTCGATGAGTTAATCATCTTTTCTTTTTTAAGCAGTAAGAACTTAAACTGATTTTCAAGAATCTTGCTACCAACTTGAACAAAAACCTGGAAACAAGGAATTCAAGAATGTTGATCAGTGGAAAAGTTCCATGCGGAATAAATAATTACGATAAATATGAAGTCCATTTAAGAACTAATAAGTATCCCAGAAGCCAAAACGAATAAGAAAATATTTCTTTAACTTCGTTGAAAAAACATAAAATTTGTTATTTATCGCTGCGCTACACAATCAGTCGTGCATTGAATCTGCTGCAAAAAAAGCTGTCCTATTCTAAATATATTTTCGCATTAAATTAAATTACTATTCATTGTTATTATTTCGGCAATTTTTCATAAGATATTTTTAAATACAACAACAAAATTTAAGATCGTCATTGAGAATTTCGGTAAAGATATAGTCAATCTAAGTTGACATTATCATTCAAATAACTATTTAAGCGAATTTTTATAATGTATGAACGATTTATTTCTGAGTGAGAAAAGGATGTTATGCTATTTCGGTTATTCTATGGAATAACTTTTCAAAGATAAGATGGAAATTTTCTTTACGAATAGATTATCTCTGTATTTTTAATGTAGAATAGAATGAAGAATCGTGCATTCAATAGTCTCTGTTGAATTCAGACAAAATGAATCAACAAGCTCTGATAAAAAGATCTCCTTTATGATGGAATATGATAAAGCAGTTACATAAATTCTAATAATATCTTTTGAAAAGATAATACTCGAAGTATTGATATAAAAAATTATGCGATACAAAGCAAAGCATTCATGTAGTCCGCCGCGAGTTTTTTTTTCTTTGACATCGTACGCACCGTTTCGTCGTTTTGTGAATCAATGATCTTGAGACGCAAAAGTCATAAAAAATTCTTTCAAACAAGAGGTGGAAATACCACGATCGAACTTCCGACATGTTTTTCGAATCTTCAATCTGAAGTTTCGTTCACTCACAAATGTGGTTCCGAAATGACGAAAATGAAAGAAATTTATCGTGAGAACATTAAAATGACGCCATCATGATCATATGTTAGCCGCTATCGTCTATTCGTTTACAGCTGATCTTTAACGATGTATCGCTGAGTAAGAATGAAGCTTTTTCAAATGATGAATATCATTATGGCTACATAAAAAGTATTTAAAATTTCTTCGAATTCTTGATTTTTCGTGGAGATCCGGATTCTTGCTTCGCATCACATTCCGTTTTCGGGTGAAACTCGAAGATCATCTAGTTCTATTTAGATCACTAGTGCGATTTATATCATTAGATTTCTCTGGCAAATAACCGCTATTCAAAATTCTTTTATGTCATTGAATTTGAATAAGAATTTTTATACAATATAATTCGTTTTCATTTTCATATCCGACGATTATTATTATCCGATATAGTCATCGATTGATTTTAACTATTTAAACATATTCTTTATTCTTTTTGTTAATGTGGTATACATAAACCAAAATCTAGGCAAATATGAGAATAAGCAAAAATGCATAAATGATAAAACAAATAATATTCCTCATCTAATGAGCTGTTGGATTGAGCCGCTTTTTTTTCAATAAATGAAACGAATTTGCATTTACATATATATATATTTGAAAGCTTAGTTTTGTTCCGTTGTTTACAATAAAAATTATGAATAAGAAAAAAGCTGGAGATATGAGACTATGTTTTTTCATACAATAAGTAACCTTAGCCGATTAGATTCAATAGTTGTGCTATTCGATGCGGAAGAATGAAAACGTGGTTAATTGTCAGATTATTGAAAAATCAAGTCAGTCACATGAGTTGACGCTTTGTTACCTATCCCAAACACGTAACACAGGTATTCATAACTTAGTTTATATTTATTTTAAATTAAAAATCAGACAAATAATGTTTGTATTTTCATATAACAAAAGAATAAATAATGAAAGCACAAGTGGAAATACTTTTTTAAACATTCACGGATAGAAACAAATACTAGATCGTTATAAGATTTAAATAGAATAATCTATTACGTTGAAATTTTGTTCATTAAATTTAAAATTATTCATAGTTAATCATGACCAGTCGATGTTTCTGAATGAGAATTTTGAGAATTTCGTAGAATGAAATTGTTAAACGAAGTTTCATAATGCGGACGATGATAGACAAGAAATTCACTGGACATAATTCCTGATTGATTGTTATTATTGTGTGTCGTTTCAGTGAATACAGATGAAAATGTTGGTTGATTATCTAAAGAAAATTGAATGAGTAAAATATTTTCTATATGAAAAAAAGAAAAAACCATTTAAATGTAGCATTATATTTTGTTCTTCATTTGCACTATGTTCTAAAATGTCAGCAAGTATAAAATTTTCCTCAGATGTAAATGGTGATATTTCATTGAATAATACTGAATCATATGCTGCTGTGGAATTTGATTTCGCAGTTTCTAAAATTGTTGATCTAGTCGTTGGAATTTCATTGAGTCGATGAGAATATTCTTCAGGAATATTTTGTTCCGAGCGTAGCGATTGATCGCTGGATGATAAATTTGAACCTTGTCCAATATCATTTTCTATGAAGCTATAGAAAGAAGAGCTATTTGTACAAGATTCAATAAAAAGAAGTAATCTATTTCAAAAATATTAGTAATTAGATTTATGGTTCTAGTCAAGGCTCTTGATTTTTTTCAAAGTTAGGAGAGATTCATCTCTCTGACAGACACTGCTTGAAGAAAAGTTTTAAAAAAGAACTCCAATCGTGTAATTATTCACTACGTAAATTGATTAATTGTCTTAAAAATATTCAACCATTGTATATTATACAGATATGCAAGATCAACGCGTAGTCCATATTGCAAAAGCGAGGTTTATGGCTTCACTAACGTTTAGTTATAAGAAATGATTCAAATGTCTCTTCCATCTATATGTATCTCACTTTAAGTCTCATTTTATTTCATTTGTAAATTTATTAATAATATTTTAGCTACATCAATATTTGTTAATGGCATCAAGCTGAAGTTTGGCGTCGATCAATAAGAGAATGAATCAATTCATTGTATTCAATTCAAATTGATATATTCTAATTTATTAATTATTAGATATTAAATTACCTTACAGTTATTCGGATTCGGTTGATATCTAGTCACTATGAAAATGAAAGACTCTTTGAGATTACATAAATTAGTCAGTCTTGATATTTCCTAAGGTTCTTCTAATGTGAATAAGGAAAGTATACGTTCAAATAATTCACTACTTACACATTTTCATCATCATCATCGTCAGTATAATTCATTTGAGCTGACTAAAAAATAAAATATAGTTAAATAAAAAGAAATAAAATAAAATTTCAGTACTTCGATTGACGTATATTCATCCTCATCATCGTCATCCTTGTCGGCGATATCAATCACAGTTTCAATTTGATTTTCTTCTTCATGATTTATTTCTGTATTTGAATTTTCGTTTGCCGTTAGTGAAAGAACTTTTTCACGTAAACTTTTTATTTCGTTATTTAATTGTTGATTATCATTCACTAAATATTTAATATACCATTGCTGATCACGAGATTCTTGTTGATATGTTGGTGGTCGCACATGAAAACGTAATATTAATGTATCATTCACTGTATTATGGAAGCCTTCTGATATCAATGCATTGAGTAAAAAGTATCGATTATAACCCCAACATTCTCCGATTTCGAAATCCGATGTAAATTCTCGAATAATATTCTTCGATGTATCTTTGCTAAGTTGATGAATCATTTCAATACGATATTCATATTTCGATGATTCGTTTAAACCACTGGTTAATTCAAGAAATACAGATAGATAAATACCTTCTACAGTACCATTACCATTGGGATAGATTTTTAAACGCCATGTTAAACCATTGACATGCAATGATTGACTATACAGAGGATCAGCGGCTTGTTGAAGAATGGAAAAATTTCTTATAATAAATATACTTGAATTAAACCGAGGAACGACTTCACTAGAAAATAAGGATTGATATCATCAAAAATATTGTTTTATTGTTTGTCTACAAGAAAAAAACCTTGCCAGTAAAGCTCAGAGATAACCATCGACTTTCAAGGATATTTAAAACATATAAGGCCATTGTATTTATGAAATTTTTTCTTGTAAAAAAATGAACGGTTTAAGTCAAATCTAAATAAGTTTTCAAGGAGAACATCAATCATCGATAGATATTTGTAAAATTGACAAGAAAGGTCGTAAGAAGTTCATGAGTATATTCTATTATTTACTGTGAATATCATTCAGCGCCTTTTTTGTTTGCTAAGAAAGCAAAGGAAATGAGTCTGATACTTTTAACATCGGTAGTCACAATTAGTAAAAGGTATAAAATGTTAATTTTACCTGGGAAAATCATATGAAATAGGTGTTGGAACAAAAATTCTCTTCGATTTTTCATAAACCATTTGAATAGAATTAAGTAAATCTTGTTGTTTCTCAATGACTTCAGCTTTGCCATTACTAGATAGACGATGTTCAACATCATGAAGAGCATGTTCAATGAATTCAGTTTGACTTGTCATTTGAGTACGTTGAACTAAAAGAAAACAGAAACACATTTAACTCAGAATTTCTAAACTTGAAAATAATGAAACTGTGGTGTATTTTACTATTAAGTGTATTCAATTTCATTTTGAATTGTTCGTCAAGATTCAGTTGCATTGTATACATGACATTTCTTATTTCACGAAATCTTTCATCTTTGCCAACTTTTACATTTTCAAAATTTCTTTCCTTTTATAAAAATAGAAAAACAATTTAGAACATATTTTGAAACATATACAAAATATACAATATCTTGTATGAAACAAACAAGTTCAACATGACGTCGTTTCAATTGTCCAAGACGTTCATTGATAATAGATATATTTGTTTTATAAACATCATCAAGTGGAAGAAAATGATGGCCTGTATGCTATACGTAGATAACAGTAACCAAACGTTTTAATTTAATTGGAACAATACTGTTCACTTACGGTCACATTAAATAAGGCACATTGATGACAAATACATTTTGAACATGATGAACAGTAGACTGTTAATGTTTCTTTATGTAGTTCACATCTAATTAATATATATAGAAAAGATCTTCGTTGCTTTTTTTCATGACAATAGAGTGCAAGATGACAAAACAAACTTGTCTTTTTCTTCAAGTTTCTGTTTGGTCATTTCATTAATTTTTAAACTATCAAGTTGAGATGTTACTTCTTCTGCCCATCGGCAATTAACAAGATCATGTAAACGAAGAGTAGCTCGACAATGTGGACATTGTTGATGTTGATCAGTAAGCCATCTCTATTTATTATTAGCAATCAAATATTTTCAAACAGAAATGAAAACGTTTTACTCGGATACATGGATAACAACAAAGTTTTGAACAATGTGGACAAAGACGAGCATCTGATAATTTTTCCATACAAATGAAACAACGAAAGACTTCAGCTAAAGACTAAAAGTATTTTACAATAAATTAAATTAAAATCAGACACAAAAAAGAACAGTTCATACATCGACAGTATTTGTTCCATTACTTAATGATGACATTTTTCTCTTGAAAGAAAGAAATTTAAAATAGAAATCTATATTAGTTATTTAACACCAAACCTGATTATCGCTTGAGAAAAACCAAAGAATATAAAGATAAGGAATCAATTAAATTAGCCGTGCAAATGTTTAAATCCATAGATTTCTACTTGTCCAGTGATGTCAAGGACAACAAAATTTGATTTGATTTAGATGTCGCTCTTACATATGAGCATGTTTTATATTTTATCTTTCACAAATGCACTTGGATATATAGGAGTATAGATCATTTTTTTTATTCTGATTTTTAGTTTTCATGCGCACATAAAAATATTTTTGACCAATGATACATAAAGTAAAAACGGATAATTTACGGATAAAATACCATCAACTGTATTGCATTCTACTAGTTCTGTAAACGGCCGTAATCGCATGACCTGGCACTGATGAGAAATAAATATGATCCTAAAGACAACGAACAGTCTATAATAAATTTATATACCATAGTGACTTGAATTACAATCCAATTACTCTGTAAGTCACTTATGATAACTTTCAGTTGTAGAATAAATTGATAGCGCACAGGTAGACTCGCAATCCGATAGCAGTAGACGTTTATTTTTCAAGTAGTGATTAGTTGACCAAATGATTCAGGATGAACACTAAATGTAAAGCCCATGGCTCGACTTTGTCTAAGTCTACCACTAACTGCATAAAGACGATCTATTTAGAGAAAAATATTTATTAAAATAATATTAATAATTACATAATAAGCACGTTTAATTGGATCATAATGAATAGCATACACAGTTCTCATTAATGGATGATCAATAGTAGCTTTAACTTGACTTTGATTATTTTCATTTGTTTCATCATCGCTATCATCATCATTAATTTCATCATCGAAACAAACAATTCTATTTTAATTAGATTAGTTTTAATAAATAAAAAAAACGAAAAAATCTTTTACCGTCCATTTTCTCTATCAGCAACATAAATCTTTGATCCATCATTTGATACAACACCATCAGTTGGTTTACAAAAATGTGATTCATCATTGCCCGGTACAAATGATTCACCTAATGTTAATATGCGTTCACCATTTGAATATTTAAACACCTTTTGTTTTTCGTAGTAAAATGAAAATAATTTCTTTCCATTGCCTGATGCATTCCAACATCTGTAAGCCAAAGATTTTCTTCTCTGTCGACGGCGAGACCATGAGGCATATAAAATCTTAAAATAGAATATGAAATAGATTTTATTTATTGAGACAAAAAAAATAACTTACGAATTACAAACTCAATCGTTGTTTTCAATTCTGTTTAATAATCTTCTATCAGTACATCTCTTTTTTTCTCAATATATATTTATTCATTTCTTTTTCCTATTCAAGTCATTTTTTATATTTGAATATCTGATAACAATATCTTACTATCAGGATTTCTCGTATTGTTATTCATCAAGTGATGAATCATTTTCGTATGTTTTCATATCCATGTTATTGTCTTGTTTATAATTCTCCTCCAGTTAGTATGTGTACGCTTCATCAGCCCTATTCTTATAATAATAATGATAATAATAATAATAATAATAATGGAAATATTAATCCTCAACCAGAAGTAAGTAATTGTATAACTACAAATTTATCTTCATTACAGGTTGGTCGAGAAAAGACTCGTCGATTTTCTTCTGAACAAATTCGAATTTTAGAAGAACATTTTTATAAGATTGATAAATATTTATCAAAACTAACAATTGATGAACTTTCAACTCGAACTCAGTTAAAACCGACTCAAATTCGTGTTTGGCCCAATAATAAACGTACAAGAGAACGACATGAATAAATATTCTTTGTTTTGCATTTTTCCTTTGTTAAATTGAACGTAAATAAATAAAATGATTAAAGTCTACTCTTGATTCCATTCTCGTGGTGCTCGATGAAAAATAAATAATCGATTAGGATTTTTAACAGATGCTCCAAGACCACCGACTTGACCAAGTTTATATTCATGTTGAGAATCATCATCAGCCGATACCATACTTAATGGTTTATTTGCTAAAACTTGATAGGTTACAACATTCTAAATGAATATTTTTTATATAATAATTTTATTTGCTAAAATTTTCAATTATCATATTTACCTCATCAGATTCAACACCAGCTGAAATAGTATTTTCAAAAGCTCTTGCATTTACATTTACAACAAACGAAACCAAAACAAGAAGGAGAGTAAGGCGTTCCATTAGAAAATAGCTCGCCTTCGTCAAGTGACAATGTAGAAATAGATGAGTATGTGAATAGAGAAAAATAACATTTTCTTGCTTTTTTTCTTCTTTCCTCAGAGTTCCGTCTGGTTCAACTCATCGTCTATGAAATTATTCATCAATTGTCTAATTCTTTTTATTTAAATCCCATGAAAAATAAATTTAGCTACCTTTGCCGTATCGAATTAAGATGATAGTGTTTAAATGTAATCGAAATAAAAAGTGTTCAGATAGAAAAAACAATGAATATCAGACAGAAAGTTTTAAGAAGATTTAATTGATCAATCGCGAGAACTCTTTTTTTCGAACTACTAACGAAAAACTTGATACATAATTGGAATGTAATATATCATGATTACTATAAAAATCACCATAGATTGCAATGCATTAACTGTTTTGTATCAAAGAGAAAATGATTTGTCTACTGACTATGAACAAGAGAGGTTCCAATTACCTACATCGACAAGAAATGTTTACAATCGAGCACAAAGTTCAACAACAATAATAACTTATATTTGTATTTGTCGGAATCAACATCAAGCAAACATGGATGAATGATGATGGTTCCTTGATTTTCTAATAACAAGTAAGAAAATTTCAACATTATGATTCTAATAATATATTTTAATTGTCATTAAGTTTACACTTGTGAGTATTGAATTAGACAAAATTTAACATTTAAGAGAGCACATTTTATTGGAATATCCGTATATCTAAGGAGACGCTGCTTAGTAAAATAGCTTTGCATCAAGTTTCCGATTGAGTACTATTCATCATCAATTAATGTTCAACAACCAAAGATTATTTTCTAAAACTATTGTGCACTTGATTTGACAAAAACATTTGTCAGATGATATTATTCATGATTTATTTGATTTAAGCGTTACATCAATCTTAAATAGACCCGCATCAATTATGTTCGTCTTGATTTCACTTCAATGTTCTCGTGAATTTGAAGTTAAACAAATGATGAATTGTTTCATAAGAGAAATTATTTTGAAAAACAACAAAAATGAAGTTAACGATTATCTCATAAATGAAGGGATCAAACGCAACGGAGAAAAACGTTACGATCATTTATTTTCGACTATGCTTGTTTGTGAGGTCGATCGTTCTGTGTTTCATGGAAAAAATAATGGGAGGAATAAGCAGATGTATTTTTTTTCTCAAATAAAATGTTTTTGCGAAAATCGCGACAATTATTATCTTATTATCAAAAGTTTTTTTTACTTAAGGAAGTATTTTCAATACATGACTTCTTTTAGTGATTTTTATGTGAAACAAAAAAAAGATTTCCTAAATAAAACTGAATATCTTAATAATCATTTGATATTAATTGCTTTTTTTGCAGCAATAACATTATATTGAGCAGCATTTACTAATGATATTTGCAATAATTGATAAATAAATGCTTTTAATTTTAGTGTTGTCATCGACGATCTTGCTTTGTCTAAATGAATAAACTTTCAATAAGATATTAATTTCACGATTGAACAAAATAATAACTATTGAATTTTTGTTATCCATTAGGTTTCGTAAAATCTTTAGAAGATTTTCAAGAATTCACATCGGAAATATTTGAAATATGCATTTTCAACACCACATTGCTTTAAACGAACGAAAATAAAATATCCACGAAGTCTAATTCATGCTTTCAAATGAAGAAACAACTAAATATAATTATTACTCAATTGAGGGAGTTTGAATTTTTAAAAGCTAATGTTCAAATGTATTATTCCATTTGAATAAAAAGAAAATTTTAGCAGGGCTTGAGAACATTGTACTTATATTTCAAGAAAATATGTTCTTTTTTAATTAAATTAAAAAACATAAACCTGATTAGAATAAGGTTTAAAAGATTCACCATGTTTTTGTATTAATAATCGATATTGTCTATGTTCATTACGAAAATCTTATTTTTGATCAAAATAATCTTGAGCATAACCTGGTAAATAATCAATCTTCGCTTTGTGTCTTTCATCAAGACTAATAAAAACTCGACTAAAATAGCGATCATCATTTGTTCTACTGTTTGACATTCAATCGGACTCGATGGATAATTGGATTTCGAACAATATTATATTATATGAATGATGATAAATGTGATAATTCATTTGTGGATTCAAATGAATATATTTTCATGATAAAAATAATTCATCGGATGTATCTGTTATTCAACAAACCAGAGAATCTTGATGCACATGGTGTAAGAAATTGGGAAATAGAATGTCCAAAAACGAACCAATGAACGGTCTTTCTTATGTATTTCATGGTGCATCAGTGGTTTGTTGTCATATGATTTTATATTGCATAAGCGGTGGCGTCTCTAATTTTTACGTTGGGTGGCGGCAGTGCATTGTACGTATACAATCGGATCGGATGCATGAATATACAATCAATTACAAAGAAAATTTATTCATTGATCGCATTTTTGTTCGTTGTTTATAAATAGTTTGACCCCCATCACTAGTTGTGATAGAAAAAAAATGTGTCTCGCGAAGGTAAACTATTAAATTAATAACACTTTTATTTCAGATTAAGATACAGATTTCGTCACACCATAAGCTCACATCATTATCGTAGTGATCGAAGATATGAGTAGTAGTAGTAGCACACGATGGCCATTAAAGTCAGGAAAAGAAGTAAACACCTTATAACCCCATTGAAACTTTCTTTGAATATTTATTATTTTATTTGTAGAACAACGTCGTACCAGAAGATGAATTACCAGAAGTACGAATCCAACGATTAGAACCCAGGTCAAGGATTCCGGAGGACGGATACTGTAGGAACCGGCCGGAAAGATGCGGAAAAATCACCGTATCTGGCCGGAAAGCACTGGAAACTGGACGCAGTATTCCAGTTGGAAGTTACCGGATTTTTTTCCTGTGGATTCCGGTCAGTTTTCTGTGTTTTACATCTGGAAGTTGATCGGAATCTACAGGAAGAAAATCCGGTAACTTCCAACTGGAATACTGCTTCCACTTTCCAGCGCTTTCCTGTGCTTTCCGGCCGTTTCCCGCCGTACGTCCACGACCTGGGAAGCCACAATTATCGATTTAAAAAAAGCGAACGATGAATTACAAGATTTCATCAAAAAATACGTTAGTACAATTGATTGGATGCAAATGAAAATAAAGCAGCTCGAAGATGATCTTGCTCGTGAAAAGGCCAACAAATCAATTGAAAGTAACTCGTCTGGTTCATCTCCTTTGATGAAGAAGTGATTAGGTGTATAAGAAAATGACATATTCAAGATGTTAAATTGTTTTTCTTGTGTGTGTTTATCCTAGATATACATCTACTTTATGCTTGTATTTTTCTATTGTTCTATTGTTGCGAAAAAAAGATTGATGAAAAAGACGAAATCGATAAATAGAAATTCTACTCCTATTGATATATAAATGAACGATAATCAACTATTGCTTCATTATTTATGTTATGAACGTATAAGTGGATGATAAGAACAGCCACATAGCCAGTTTTTGAGAAAGTCGTTCGCTTTGTTTACTTAGGTATTATTCACACTAAAGTTTACAAATAGCAATAGATGTTGTGATAGTAATGTGAAAAGAAAGATATTTTTCTAACAACTTGCAAGAAAAGACACAATTATACGCTGATTAATTGCTTTACGAAGAATTTAATTTGCATGCGGAATAATCTAAGCAAAATATAAAGATTGCTTTTTCTACTTCTAAGATTCACGACAAGCACTAATCTCAACGCCATTGGTTTGAGACTTAATTTCAGATCTATTCAACTAAAATTATCAAATATCTTTCACATAGCATTTTATTTCATTCTTTGCTGTCTTGTCAAATAAAAAATTAATATTCCACATTAAAAAAAAGCAGTTATCATAAATACTTTAACAGCGCTGGTTCTCGATCAGTACTACAACAACAACAATTAAATCCAACGACATCTCATTCTGCAGCAAATGAAAACTCGACATCCACACGATCAACGTTTCCACCATTTCGGATTAGTTTTGCAGCTGATAGTACACCATCGGAATTATCAATCATCAAAGATATTAACAAACATTGTCACATTGGACTCTCATATGGTCGCTACTCATCCACTGGTAGTAACAAATGTTTTCTTATATATGCCAATAGCAGTGAACAATTTGATCGATTAATGGACAAAACAATATGGCCAATTCAGATATGCTCTTTAGATTATGAAATTTTATTCCCATCGAAAGTACCAACTTCATATTCAATTGTCGCTATTGGTGTTCCTGCTCAATGGAAGTTAGAACAATTTGAATCCGACATTAAAAAACAGTATCCAACAATCATCAAAGTTGAACGACTATATGTTAAAGATCGTATACCAATTTCAAAAGTTAGAATTGATTTCTCTTCAAATCAGGAAGTAAAGAAAATCATTCAAAACAAAAGCTTACTCTTAGATGATGAAAATACTTCTTTCATGATCCAACCATATTCTTCTCCAGCTAAAATATTACGCTGTTCCAATTGTCAACAATACAACGATCATATTGCAGCAAACTGTCCACGTATGGACAAGCCAACATGTTTTCGTTGTGATTTAAACCATCCGTTTAATCCAAACTGTAGTAACAAAATTTGCTGTGCAAACTGTGGTCAAAGCCATATGGCTGGTAGTCCAAGCTGTCCATTAAAAGTAGAAGAACGAAGGAAATATCAACAGTTCTCGAACAACTTACCAACGATTAACAACAACAACAACAAAGTATTACATGTTAAATCGACTGGTGCTTCTGGTGCATGGGCAACAAACGCTCGAAAAGATCATACACAAGCTCAATTATATACACCAGTTCATAATGTAACATTAAATGAATATCCAGATCCATTATCCGATATCAATAAGAAATTAGACCAGATCATGAATAAAATAGAACAAATTACAAATGAACAAACAAATATAAACGCGAGTATTACAAAGGCATTTCGATCAATTAATTCATGGCAAAAGGACCTTGTCTCACTCAAGGAATTTATTATTGACAAAGTATGTCCTTATATTTTTAACTAAGGTGAAGCATTTTTAGGAGCAAAAAAGTAAACTGAACAAGAAAAATTACGTCCAATATTTATGAAATTCAAACAACAATATGAAGAAATAGTCGAATCACATGATATAAAACAAAATGAAAAGCCTATTCTATCCAGGTCAACATCAAATGAATCCATCAGCATCAGCATCTAAATTTAAACCAAAACAAAAGAAACCATTTATTGTCAATGTCGAGCAACTTACAAAACACGAAGAAAACACTTTTAAAATGATTTTTGAAGAATGGACTAATACTCCAACGCTTAATCTTTTGTTAGACAAATGGTCAAACTATCGTAATAAAACTTTATCAATGTTAAATAGAAAAGCTTCTCTATCAATGGTACAAACTTATTTGGTGGTGTTCTAGTTGCTGTACATAAATCAATTCATACTCAAAGAATAGTTGGTTTTGACAATATACCAAATTTGATTGCACTAGAAATAGGAGTGGATCCCAGGTCGATGATTCCGGCCTCCGAAACCCGGAGGAAACGGTAAGAAACGGCTTGTTTTCTAGTGTATTCCGGCCGGTTCCGGAGTCTTTCCGACAGGATCCGACCGGAAGTCGCACCGGAACATGGAAGCAGTATTCCGGCCGGATTTCACCGTACCCGGAACCGGTTCAAACCGAGCCGTATCCTTTACCGGAAACAAACAAGATTCGTAGGGGTTCCCGACAGAACCTTAGCGGAAGAACAACGGAACCGTACTTATCTCAGCGGCAAGATCAGCGGAAACGCTAAAAGCTTGCGGGAACATACTTCTGATCCAGTGGATATGAAAGTGAGACACACAGTCTCAGTGAGACTATCCAATACCTACTTTTCAGCAAGTGAAACTATTTAATACTCACCTCTCAGTAGGTGAGACTACCTAATACTCACTTTTCAGCTAGTGAGACTTCCTAATACTTACCTCTCAGTAGGTGAGAGTAACGGTCGGATATTGGAAGACCTAAAAGAGTGTTTCGATTGGTCAAAAAGAGTCTCAGAATAGTGGGAAGGTCACTCACTCTGTCCTTACACATTCGAGATTGATTTATGCAGTCTCAAAAAGACTCTCATATACGCAGTGGAAAGCCTAGAGAAAGTATTTGAACGAGTTTTTTCGCGTAAAAGGAATGCATTGGTGCATAATAATATATCATTCGATTGCCCGTGAAATTCTCTATCGAACTGCAGCTTTGTTTTCACAGGTAGCTTCGGTTTTCTGATCACTTTAGTGCACAAAATGAAAGCGATCTTTTAAGAAAATTTGGATAAATATGAGTTTATCAGCCATGAAAATGTGTTTTGAATGCGTTTCATTGCTATGGGAATCATGCTTTGGAGAAGCAATATTATGTTTTGATAGAATTTGAAACTGTCTGTCATCCCACATGCTGACTTATTCGCTCATCTTCAATTCAGTCAGAGCGAGCTGGAAAGGAGTTAACATCTCTGAACCGACAAGTAGTATGTGTCTCGATTTTTCATTCCTTCTACAGATTTTTTTTCTCATATGTTACTCATATGTAAAAGTGTTTGTTTTGGAGAAAATTCATGTAATATGATATAGCTGGATATTCTTTAATGGAATGAATAAATGGTTTTAAAAGAGCCAATGGTGTGGGAATAACGGGTTGTAAAAAGCTTGTATTCACTTGGTTGTTTCATGAGACAAAAACAAAGAATTATAGAAAAGTTCAGTTTGATACCACCTCATGAGCTATGCTTTTTTATTATTACATTCTTTAATATGTTGTTTTGAAGCATGAAAAGAGCCTAAAGATCTTGGGTAACTTTTGTTTCCACGAAGCACGAATTGCAGAAGAGTATTTTGAGTTTTTTTTGTAGTCATACGTTAGTCGATTTGTTAAATCTGTCTCAAAATGAAATAATAGCTTGACGGTTGTAGTCATTTATTATTTTTATTATGACTTACGACCTCCTGTCATTGGCTTTGAAGTTGAATTTTCTGCAAATCGAATTCTGGAATATTTGACTTCATGTTTGGTGAATCGACTATATTTTTATTGTGTTCTTTGACCTTTCGAGTTACGAGGGCAAATCCCCTCTAAAAATACCCAATCTATAGATAAGAATCAAAATGCTGACGTAAATGTTTAGGAAATCAGAAATAATTGCTTTCTTTTTTTCTTTTTCGGGTTTTTGTTGTCAATAATTAGTCAGATCATAGCGTTGTAACAAATTCAAATAATAAGGGTGGACATATATTAAATTTAACTAGTTTGTATCTGGCATTAACTATATATTGAAGCATTGTACGTGTATGTGATGTACAGTGCATTAATACACTTTATAAAATGCTCGAATGGGTTTATCTCGCAAGGGTTACTCGAAATTAAGACGAGATATTTTATAGTTACACACATTTTTCATAATTTGAAAAGCATCTTTAAAAAAATAATTCTTTGTTTTGTTTTATGCTACTGTGTTTTGTTCAAAATAATGTTAATAGTATTACTGCTGCGCTTGAATTTCATTTTACAAAATTGATGTGAACTTTAAAAAAAACCAGACTTAAAACATTTATAATGATGCAACCAAAACTATCGTTGCAATGCTATCTGATAAGCAATAACACTTTTCAACATAGCTCTTTGTGTTGTTAGCTGCTGATAAACTAGTTGTCAGTATTGAATTTCATTTTTAAAACCATACAAGATATAAATAAATGATGCGTTGCAACTTTATCCCATAGATAAGAACATACTGAATGTTTACTTCGAAAAAACATATTTGTGCCTTTCTATTGTTATTAAATATAGTGACTGAACTTCAAATACACGTTCATGTTACTCTTCAGTAAACTTTCTTCTGCTACACGTATATGGAAGTTGGCAAAAGCGTGAATAAATGAAAATTATACACGTATTTTAAAATCAATACAATCAATAAAATAGCTTCATTTCTATCCGATAGTTTGTATCGTTTCCATATCAATAAATAAAATGAATTCCACCAAAGAATATCTGTCACCATCAAATATGAACAAGTGTCAATCGATATGACATTAACTTAGACTACCACTTTTATTGACTGATGTCAACTAATTTCATACGGAAGAAGACTGAAAAGGCTGTATTTTATCCATTCTAGCCGAATAGTATAATTTGTCTTTAAATAATTCTAGTTTCTTAAAATTATTATTATATAAGTATATTTTAGTAAAAAAACAATAACAGTCACCACGATTCATAAGTTCATGTAAAACCGTTTTACTCTATTTGATTTCAATCTTAAGAAAAAATTCGTCACATAGAGAATAAGATTTTCCGGAAAGACGCCGATTGAACGGATAAAAAGTCAGTTCAGATCAAATTTATATTGAATTCAACCATATTTTTTAAGGATAAACAACAATAGATTAATTAAGACATAAATTTGAAAATTGATTGAAACAAATATAGAACGTTATTGAGCTGACTGTCTTCATAATTGAAGGTAGCTGAAGTTTGGAGTGACAGAATACTTTTCTCGATTATTTTAAATTCAATTCGTTTTCTAATAAGTTTAATTGGACATGCTATTGCCAAATAGAATAATAACTGAATCACAAACGTTTTTTTGTTGGAATTGTTTCAGACGCAAATGATGTATAGGACTGATGTTCGAGTAAATGACGTACGCATGTTTTAAATATACGAAAACACAAGTTATAAATCGTATGCGTTAATGCACTGTTTCATACACGCTTATACACTATAATGTCTAAAATGTTATAACTATATTCTTATGGACTACATATAACTAAACATCTTAGTGGTGGTCTGTTATACAAGTTGGTTGCACTATTGTTTATCGATGACGATAATAAATGCATTGCTGAAAATTTACGGTTATTTGTGTTTTCTTACTTATGATGCATGATCATACGATTAATTATCTCTTTATAGATTTATTTTCGTGTTAATTTTTCACTACTTGTGATTAATTTAAAAAGATAATATTATTTGATATCCATTTAGATTTAAAATTCGTAAAAAATAGTAATCAGTAGCTTATTTCATAATGCTTGCGTTTTTTTAGATTATATTTTTTAATTGTTTTTCATCATGCGTAGGAAGCGAACCTTTCGAAAAAATGTGAATTTGGATCAAAATAAAGAAAATTTGAATGGTAAAAATGCTTTGCTATAAAATATAAGTATTCGAAAATTTATTAACATTACTCATAGAAAGTAACCAATCAAATTTACAAATTCTTGAAGAAAAGGCGCAAAATCAACAAGTCAGTAATGATCCAACAAATAATTTAATAGATGATACTTTGGAAAGAACAATTAATGTTAGAAATATGAATTCATTGCAAATTTTTACCGCCGAATTTTGATCATCTGGAAAATTTTATTTCATCTATTGACTATTTACCATTGAATGATAATACAAAAATTATTGAAATAAAAAATAAACGTTATAAAATTATACAAGAAACAAAACGTCAATGGTTAAATCATTCCTTAAACATTTATGAGATAAAAATACAAGAATATGAACAACAATATCAAAATGAATTCATTCAATTGGAATCACTCTTCTCAAATAATAATGATACAACTATGTTAAATAATATCAAGGAATATATCAATAATCGAATAAATAGATTAAAAAAAGATATTTATGATAAAATGGCATCTTTTCGAAAAATAATACTTCAAAATCGTCAACGTTCATCATCAACAAAAAATACTATAGGTGTTTCACCTGAACCATATCTCGATCTTATTTCTAATCCATTTAATAAAAGTCAATGGAATTATCTTTCATTTGGTAAGATATTTTTTTTAATTATTTAAAAAACTTCTTTATTTATATTTCTATTAACTTAGGTCCATCTTATATAAGAGTAAATCAAAGTGCTATTCGTCCAAAATGTCAACAAGAAACTGAAATAAAAAATCAACAAAAAGATATTTATTCAAAAGTTGAAAATCATCTCACCGGACATCCTCATC